AAAAAAAAAAATATTTGAGACAAATAATATAGTATAAATTTCATCATCTAATTTTTTTTCAACTTTTATCTTTTTCATACGTAGATTTTCCTTTTTTTAAAATAAAAGTATTGCGAGAATTTTTCTCCAATAAAATTCGTCAACCATATCGTACAGCAGTCGCATGTGACTTGAACGTTTATATTTATATGGTTGCACCGGAGTTATATGACTTTTTTTAGCTATTTATTTTTTATTTTTTTTTAAAAAAAAAAAATTTTGTAAGAAAATTTCGTCATGTCTTCCTCTATTGATTTTGCTCTTGTTGCAGTTAATAGAGCACGTGATTTAATTGATTATAATATTTACGACAATATACATAAACAACATGAATTTGTGAAACAAAAAATTCTTGGAGATAATTCTCTTACAAAAAAAGAAAAAACTGAAGCAATAAGAATAGAGAATAATAGCTATGATAGGGATAAAATTAATCTTAATTCAGGAACAAAAAGAATTTGTGAAAGTTGTAATCAAGAATGTTTGGCTACATTTTATTGTGAATGTTGTATTCGAAATCATCTAAGAGTAAAATTTTCAAATTGGACGTCTGGAAATGCTGATATTGATAATTTAATCCAAAAATGTCAAATGGAAACACTCTTGCCAACTATGACAATTGAATGGATTCCATATAATAAAATTAAGAATATTAAATTTTTAACAAAAGGTGGATACTCTGAAGTTTATACAGCAGTTTGGATTGATGGAACATATGATGATTGGGATTCTAAAAAACAACAGTTAAAAAGCGTTGGAAGACATGATGTTATACTTAAAACATTAGGAAATGTTGAAAGTGAAAATCAAAGATGGTTTGAAGAGGTTTGCAATCTAAATATATTTAAAGAAGTGATAATTAAACAATTAATATGTTAATACAAAATATTAAAATTTTTTAGGCTATATCACATTTAACTATAAGTAATAGATGGACATCTATAGTTCGATGCTACGGGTTAACACAAAATACATCAGATGGAAATTATATGCTTGTAATAAGAAAAATGGATATGGATTTAAGAAAATATTTTCAGCAAAATCATAATCAACTTACATGGGAAGAAAGGGTTCAAATTACTTATGATATAATTATTGCACTTTGTAGAATTCATAGAGAAAAAGCAATTCATAGAGATTTGCATTCTAAGAATATATTATATATTCACTATGATCAAAGGTTTTACATTAGTGATCTTGGATTTTGTGGTCCAGCAAATAGACCATCAAAAAGTATATATGGAAATCTTCCTTATATAGCACCTGAGGTTATTAATGGAAAAGGATATACTTTTAAATCTGATATTTATAGTATTGCAATGCTTATGTGGGAAATTTCATCAGGTCAACCACCGTTTATTAATTACGAACATGATTACGATCTTGCAATGAATATAATTAATGGTATTAGACCAAAAATTGTACCGGGAACTCCTTTAGAATATAAAAATTTAATAGAACAATGTTGGGATGCTGATCCATTAAAAAGACCTGATGCTAGAACTCTTCGGAGAGAAATAAAAAAAATTTATATTTTATACCAAAATAATCCAAGTAAATTAGTAACAAATAATAAATTAAAAATAAATAAATCAAATAGCTCAAAATCAAAAGATACAAATGATTTATTGTATACGAGTAAACTTCATCAATTTGAAGCCTTACCTGAACCAAGAAATGCAACAGAAGGTATTGTTAATTACATTAATTAAAATCTTTTTGTCTTGATAATATATTAATATAATATTTTTTTTAATAATAACAGAAGAACTAGAAGGTATAATTGAAAATTTTCTATTTTGAAAATTTTAATTGTAATAGTCTCATAATTTGTATATCGAGTATTAAATAATTTTTTTTACGATATCTTTAATTTTTTTAACAGCATTTCACAGTAAATCCTATGATTTTGAAATCCCCGATAATAGTAAGTAATTATTAAATTTATAACAATAATATATCTAATTTATTTTTTAAAAAATTAATTGGTTGATAATTTTTTTTTATTTAGTCGAAGATTTTAATAAATCAAGTAGTCGTCGGACTTTTAAAAGTATTATAATTTTATTCGTAATACGTGAAAAAAATATTTTTTTTTTTTATAATTGAAATAGAAAAACGAATAACAAATTTTTAATAATTTTAGGTAGCTCCAAAATATTTAACATTGAAAAGTTTCAAAGCATGGTATGTATGATCATTATTCATCAGTTACAAAAATTTTATTAATTATTTAATTATGAATATTTTTTCAGATGTCCAAATTAACGAAGAAATAATACAACAAAATATAAAGGAGCGTCATTTTAATATTGATTGGTAAGTAAAATAATTATTAAAATTTTTTTATTTACTTGTAGATAATGACAAAATTCTAATTTCTATTCAAAAATAATAAGAATAACGAATTTAATCGCTAAAAATTTTTTTTTTATATAATATTTATTAGATACGAAAGAATTATAGATTAATAATAATATTGCAACATATAATTATTTAGATACGAAGGAATTATACTGTAAATTCAGATCAACATTGCAATATTATTTATTATAAAGTTATTTACAATTTATTTTTTTTTATTACTTTATTTATTATTTTTTACTTATATTTTAGCCGTTCTTACAATTTCTTAATATGTAATTTAAAATAAAATTGCCGAAGCTGTTTTGTGATTATATTGAGATAAATAAAAGTAAATTTGCACGAGATGCTTCAGATTAATCATGTTGAATTAATATGATGTAATGATTATTAGATTATTTTTCTTTATTTTAATCTAATCATAATGTAGTATGTTACAGATCGATCAATGATATAGTACTTACTGTAAATATCACTACGAATTAATATGTCTACTACGCGCAATTTACCACGGGACTTCAATAACGAAAGTGACCCTTTATAGATAATCAATCAGGATCGGCATCCTCAATAGTAATTCTTTAGGACAGTTTAAGATTAGTACACAGAAAAATATTTCAGAAAAATAAACAAAAAAAAAGTAAATGCTTTCATTTTACGAAATCGTGAAAGACGACTTTTCTTTTCGATAACTTCTTATAATAATTCTTGGGTTTCTTTTTTATCAATGGGACGCCTGCTGCTTCTACCCTCTTTTTTTGCTGCTTAAGGTCTTGAAAGGCGAATCCCGCAACGTACGCACATATATATTTGAACTTGAAATACTGTACATCCTTGACTATTTAATTTTTTTTAATTTATTTTACTTGCTACTAACGCATTAGATTTAAAAATCAAAAAAATTCAAATCACCTTAGTTTTTTATTTCTGTTTTTTTTTCAGGTCGAAGATTAACACTTAAAGTTAATAATGGATTTAGATCCTCCGGATATCACATTTTAATTGGTGTGTATATATATTGTTTATATATAAAGCTAAAATAAATTTCATGACTAAAATCATTAATTTTGTAAATAATATTAATATATGTTATTTCAAACATTTATTTTTAACCGTCAAATTATGATTTTATTGAATATTTAGGTTGATTTATGATTCGACTGCGTAATATCACGAAATTTATAATTAAAAATCGGGCATATAGTAACTAACAAAATTATTAATTACAAACGATTGGTTTAAGAAAAAAAGTTTGTTATAATTCAAAATTGGTTTATCCCAAATTAAAATCGTATCGAGTTCTGGACTTTATGGAATTGTTACTTTTTTGCACAAAATTCTGACTTTTAGTAATGATATTACTTTTTAAGTGAATTAAAAATTTGTGTGTAAAGGTAAAATGGAAAGTGTCAATAATATGGAATAAAGCACAATCATTATTATTAAATTGTTATTAAATTTAAAGAAGAATGTTACAGACAAGTTTATTTTGCAAAATATTATTATCAATGCAATAAGAGAAAAAAATATGAAAAATTAGATGAATAAAAATTTATTAATTTTTTTATTTTTTTTTTTTATTAAAAAAAAAAAATATTTGAGACAAATAATATAGTATAAATTTCATCATCTAATTTTTTTTCAACTTTTATCTTTTTCATACGTAGATTTTCCTTTTTTTAAAATAAAAGTATTGCGAGAATTTTTCTCCAATAAAATTCGTCAACCATATCGTACAGCAGTCGCATGTGACTTGAACGTTTATATTTATATGGTTGCACCGGAGTTATATGACTTTTTTTAGCTATTTATTTTTTATTTTTTTTTTAAAAAAAAAAATTTTGTAAGAAAATTTCGTCATGTCTTCCTCTATTGATTTTGCTCTTGTTGCAGTTAATAGAGCACGTGATTTAGTTGATTATAATATTTACGTCAATATACATAAACAACATGAATATGTGAAACAAAAAATTCTTGAAGATAATTCTCTTACAAAAAAAGAAAAAACTGAAGCAATAAGAATAGAGAATAATAGCTATGATAGGGATAAAATTAATAATAATTCAGGAACAAAAAGAATTTGTGAAAGTTGTAATCAAGAATGTTTGGCTACATTTTATTGTGAATGTTGTATTCGAAATCATCTAAGAATAAAATTTTCAAATTGGACGTCTGGAAATGCTGATATTGATAATTTAATCCAAAAATGTCAAATGGAAACAATCTTGCCAAATACGATAATTGAATGGATTCCATATGATAGGATTAAGAATATTAAATTTTTAACAAAAGGTGGATACTCTGAAATTTATAAAGCAGTTTGGATTGATGGAAGTTACGATAAGTGGGATTCTAAAAAACAACAGTTAAAAAGATTTGGAAGAGTAAATGTTATACTTAAGACATTAGGAAATGTTGAAAGTGAAAATCAAAGATGGTTTGAAGAGGTTTGCATCTAAATATATTTAAAAAAATGATAATTAAACAATTAATATGTTAATACAAAATATTAAAATTTTTTAGGCTAAATCACATTTAACTATAAGTAATAGAGACCTTTCTATAGTTCGATGTTACGGGTTAACACAAAATACATCAGATGGAAATTATATGCTTGTAATAAGAAAAATGGATATGGATTTAAGAAAATATTTACATCAAAATCATAATCAACTTACATGGGAAGAAAGGGTTCAAATTACTTATGATATAATTATTGCACTTTATCATATTCATGGAGAAAATGCAATTCATAGAGATTTGCATTCTAAGAATATATTATATATTCACTATTTTCAAAAGTTTTACATTAGTGATCTTGGATTTTGTGGTCCAGCAAATAGACCTTCAAAAAGTATATATGGAAATCTTCCTTACATAGCACCTGAGGTTATTAGTGGAAAAGAATATACTTTTGAATCTGATATTTATAGTTTTGCAATGCTTATGTGGGAAATTTCATCAGGTCAACCACCGTTTATTAATTACGAACATGATTACGATCTTGCAATGAAAATAATTAATGGTATTAGACCAAAAATTGTACCAGGAACTCCTTTAGAATATAAAAATTTAATAGAACAATGTTGGGATGCTGATCCATTAAAAAGACCTGATGTTTATACTCTTTATAGAGA